CAAATTTTACTTCAATTTCAAAAGAATGTAGAAAAACTGATGAAAGGGATCGATTGGTTTGCTTGTGACCGAAACTAACAGTTTGATGGTTTATCCAGGATAATTTGATATCTTTAAATAACTTTTCAAAATAATTTTTAATTTGATATTCAGCTGTCGACAAAATTTTGTAAATAGAATTTTTGAATGGTAACAATTCGTCGATTGGCAGTAAAGGTTCACTTTGTTGTTCTTTTTGTATATAAATTATTTCACCATTTGAAATAACTTTTAATCCAAAATATGATCTGAAATTAATTATATGTAATTTTATAATGTTTTCCATTGCTTTGATGAATTGGTTCAATGTGATTAAAGCAATTTGATTTCCATATGCATTTTGTATAGTGTTGGGAATTGGAATTTGGAAATAATCAAATTCTCTTAATATTTCTAATTTACTAACATGACAATAACAACAATTATTATCCTTGATCTGCTTACTACTATTACTATTACTATTACCACCACCACTACTATCACCAATGTTGCTATTATTGTTGCTGATATCATTGCTAGAATCTGAATTTCCTCCGCATTCATTATGATCAGACAAAATTATCTTACCACCATTACGATAATACTCTAATACATAATGAAAAGCTTTACCATTACGATCAATAAAATATTCATTGTTTTCATTATCACTATTAATTGGATTTAGTAATTCTTTATTTCTTTCTTGAAACATTGTACCGAGCAACGTCTCAGGATACGCTGTTAATGTTGATCGATATGTTTTATACTGTCGTATTTTATAGAGCGATTAATTAATCCTTACCATTGATGATTAATACATTAAACGACAACATTACTTTTATTATTTTTATTATTTTTAAGAATTTTTACCTTAACACCACTTACATTCAAAGTAATTATGTCTGAGAAGGGGGGAAGAGAGGGGGAAGGAGAGGGAGATATTAAAGATTTTGAAGGAGGAGATGATGGTGACGACATTATATAATTTTTTTTCGTATACGCACGTGTGAAATGAAAAAAAATATAATTACTATTATTTACCATTTATACATGTGATCATCACGGCTTTGAATCTATTTATAATAATAGTAATTATTGTTATTATTTTTATTATAAAACAACAAATAAAAAAAGGATTTTTAAAAAAAAAAAATCATGGAAAAATTAAATGAAGAAAGAATTATACTTAATGTCGGAGGAATAAAGGTAAAATAATAATAAATCTATGTATTTGAATATATATATTCAAAATATTTTAATAATAATAATAAATAATAATTAATAAATATATATAGTATGAAACTTATCGTTCGACATTAATAGCATTTCCCGAAACATTACTTGGCACAATGTTTCAAGAAAGGAATAATGAATTATTGAATTCAACAAATAACAATAATGAAAGTAATAAAGACGAATATTTTTTTGACAGGAACGGCAAAGCTTTTCATTATATTATGGAATGGTATCGTAATGGTGGCGAAATAATTTGGCATAATCACGATGGAGCAACGGTAGCAACAGAAGAAGGAAAAAATGATGATGTTAAATGTAAAGGAGGAGGAGAGGATGGTTGTTGCTCTTGTTGTTGCTCTTGTTATTATAGTTGTGTTAATAAATTGGAGGTGTTGAAAGAGTTTGATTATTTTCAAATCCCAATTAGTAACAACAACAATAACAACAACAATAATAATGTTATCAATAAAAATCATCACCAACACCATAAACATAGTTGTAATCATCTAATATTTAAATCATCGCCAATAATTATTGCTGATGATGAATATTTAGGAAGCAAGGTAGATAGGTTTATTACAGCTTTAATTGAAACAATTGATGATTATCGATGTGAGTTTGTTGAAGATTTTAGCATAACGTTTTATAAAAGAGAGAATTTTACAAGATCAAATAATGTTGTTAGTAATAATGGCAATTGTAGCTGTGGTAATAATAATGATAGTAATAATAAGAATAATAGTAAGAATAATAATAAAAATAGCAATAACAATAAATGTACTAGTAATAATTGCAGCAATATCAATATTAGCAACATTAATATTAATAATGATAGTGATAAATTAATAAGATTGAATCCAAGTTTAAAAAAATCAAATGAAAAATTAAAGGAATTTGAGATTTCAGGATATGGAATTATTAATAATTATTTATCATCAAT